GGGGCAATATGCTGACTCTCTGTAAACCGCTTAGAGAGGGCTGAAAGCCCTATGAAGCGGTATATAAGTCCACTGCTATTGCTATTGCTATTCTCCTGCTTCTTTGGAGGAATCTTATTCCCTTCTTCAGCTCCTCAGTCACAGATGCTGGTAATGTGCGAGGACCAGTCGCTGCCCAGCCAGATCAGCTGTCTCCCTTAGGCCAGCCCAGGAATAGATGAGCCCTTCCATTCCAAAGAAGGCTACTTGGCTAGGGAGGCAGGCTCAATGGCAGGCTGGGGGCTGCATCAAACATCCAGCTTTTCTTCTTCCTGCAGGCCCCGAGGCAGCTGGCCTCAGCAGCCTTCCTGTACCGGCCAGGGACAGCCGTGCTCACTGGCGAAGAGCTGCAGCCATGTGCCCGAGTGATCTGCAGCCTGGGAACTGACGCCGAGCATTCAGCCAACAGCCAAGGCAGCCACGAGACGGGGGATTCGGGAAGGTTCTCCCACGAGTCCAACGAGGAGCTGCACCCCCCTCCCGGCTTTGGGGCTGCAGATTCCTTCCCAGGCAGCTGTCCTGTCCCTGGGCCTCTCCAGCCGCCACTGGCTGCCAATGGCAGCGGGGGGACATTTTTCAGGGAACAATGAACTGGGAGGCCAAGCTTTCAATGGGCTGCCCAAGGACCGGCAGGCGACCCGTGTTTCCACTGCCTCTTTGTGTTTCCCTTCCCGAGTGAATGTCCAGTGTGCAAAAATGTGAAAGGAGGGCAGGGTGGCTCTCCCCTCTGTCACTGGAGCAAAGGTGCCCCCTTTGCTTGGATATCTACCTCAGCTTGCCAAAGCAGACGCCAAAGGAAGCAACCGCACTACCTCATTTGCTGTGTGAAAGTATTGCTTGTGGCTGCAGGGCTGGCGATCCTGGCAGCCCCGAGTCCTTTCCCTGAATGTATGGAGAGCCAGCGTGTGCCTGCGAGCCAAGGAGTTGTGTTGGGAAGCAGAGGGGGCTGCCCCACTGGCTTTGGGCAGAAGGATCCCCAAAAGAGGGTCACTCCAAGGGCCAGCAGGGCAGAGGCAGCAGGTAGCTCTGGGGCCATCCGGGGGCCACCCCAGCCCCAGGGTCCCACCTGCCTTGTCAGTGCCTTCTTCTGGAGTCCGCAGCTGGGGAGACAGGATGTCTGTGTGTGTGTGTGTGTGTCTCCGCCTCTGCTGTGCTCCCTTGGCCAGATGATGCCCCCAAGTGTTCTGGCGGTAACGGTGCCTTCCATTAGATAGTTATGAACTCACTGCTTGCCTTACTTGCGAAGTTTCTCTGGAGTCCAGAACGAGGCCTTCCATGCGCCCTGCAGGTTGCCCTGGGGCTCCCCCCCCCCACTGATTTCCCTCGCTGGTCCTGAGCACGGGGGCCCATTAGCCTGGGTCATGGTCCTCAGGCCAGTGCTCGGATGGAGCCCCCCTCCCCTAAAGGCACAGCGGCGCATCCTCTTGCTTCCCACATGGCTCTTGGTTTATACTACCTCTTTTTAAGATTATTCTAGTGTTCTTGTTTTCCTGTGCTCAGGGTGCAGTTTATGACTTTTAAGCTGCCTTGCGTGTTGTAAGGCAAACTGACAGGGTATCTCGTGTTTTGTTTTGTTCTGAATTTAGTGAGTGAGCGAGTGAGTGAGATGGTGAGCAAGAGAGAGAGGGAAGCGAACCCCCCCACCCCCCCGGTCGTATTCCCCAAAATTCTAAGCTAGCTGGTAGAGTTCCCTCCCGTTTCCATTGGGAAAAGGTTTGGCCAAAGGTCCCAGATGTGACTCCCGGGTGGGTCTCTTGCAGGTGACAGGAAATGTACATTTGGGACGTGAGGCTGGTGGTGGGTCTGGATGGCGGTAGGCTTGGTGAGAAGACCGGCAGTCCCCCTCCCAGCTCCCCCTGCCCCACTTTGCCTTGCAAGAGCCCAGAGGCTGCCGGATCAGCTGAGAGCGTTGGCCAGTCCGGCACTGTCTCCCCCCCCCCCCATTTGTCTGATGCAAAGGCTTTAAAGAAAATAATAATCTTGTACCAAAGAATGTTCTGTGGAAAGGAGAAGAAAGCTACATATTTCCCCCAAAAGACAATTGAGATAGTTAAAAAA